TTCGATCAGCGGCTGAAAGAGAGAGGAGAGAGAGAGAGCAGAGGGAGACGCGGACGAGGAGGATCGCACCGATGGGGACGACGGAGGAGAGGTAGAGGTCGCGGCCCGCGGGACATGGTGACGGGCTCGACGAGGAGGAAGGCGAGGGAGGAGCAGAGGGAAAGGAAGTAGAGGGCGCCGATGGGGATGACCGATTTGAGGTAGAGCCACGGGGTGCGAAAAGGGGTATGTATGTTGCTTGGCTCTTGGTTGAAAAGGGGTGCGAAACTGAGAAACAATGGAGAGATTGAAAGGGATGGTCTGCTACGGAGAGATAGAGAGCCTTTTGAGGCTCTGGGCTCGAGGCAAGGGCAAAAGATGTAGCAGCTGCTAGGGTTTTTCAATTCAAACAGGAAGCTGCTGCATCAACATATATTGTAGTTGTCGCTGCACTTTGACACAAGTGTGGACTTGGACGTGTTGGGCCGTGTTTCTCTTCAATAGCACCAGGTCTTCAGTTCGATTCCAGGTGATCTTTGTCCTTTTTCTTCTTTTCTTTTTGTTTTATTATTTGTTTATTTTAATTTCTTTGTTTCCTTTTCTATTTTCCTTTTCTTCTAGTTTATTTATTTTAGGCTTTTGTTTTATCTTTTACAGTTTTTATTTTTGTTCTTCTTCTTTTCTTTTTGTTTTATTATTTGTTTATTTTAATTTCTTTGTTTTCTTTTCTATTTTCCTTTTCTTCTAGTTTATTTATTTTAGGCTTTCGTTTTATCTTTTACAGTTTTTATTTTTGTTCTTCAATCTTTGTTTATTTTTACACACCTTGAGGACAAGGTGTGCAATAAGTTTGGGGGTGGGAAAGTAAAATTTTAGGATTTTAAATTTTTAGGCTTTTGTGTAAAATATTGTAGTAATTCATTATATATAAATGATTATGGTGTGTTTAGACTTCTTTCATTAATTACTACATATTTTCTACACTCACAATGTTTGTCAACTCGCTATATAATCAACTTGATAATGTTAAATCCATCATGCAATGCATTTCCTTTCAATTTTTTGTGATAAACTAATAGATAATTGACTAAATAAACATCCTGCAAAGTTTCAATAAAAATTTCCAAGTTTTTCTTACAATTTCCGTGGTTTCCATGTAATTTTTATCGATATCGATATTATCCCGATATTTTCATCGATATTTCCGTGTTTTCGGACTACCGATATTTTCGATATTACCGATATTTTCTTCCTTGCTTACAACTAGTAATACTTGCTAACAAGTACAAACTCTCATGACAGAGAGAGAACCTCGTCCTATACAGGTTTTTGACTAAAAGGAAACAATTTCTTTATGTCTTTACTTCTTTGTACACTCTTATTTATTTATGACTTTTAAATTAGATAAATAAAAGGAGAATATAGGGACACAATAAATAAGAGTGTGTAGAAGAAGAAAAAGTGTCGTGCACAAGACAATTTCCTTGACTGAGTTATATGACATTATCATATATATATGGTTAGGATATGAGGACACACGTTTTTTATACACATTTTGATACATTTTTTTATGAAGCATACTCCGTAATGTATTTCAACGATCTGAGTCGTCTATATTGTAGGTCTTCTCTAAAAGGTGATCATGTCTACCAAAAATCACCCAAATCCAAAATGATAAGATCGTTGCATTAATTTTAGATGTTCTTTGTAGAACAATTTCTTCTATTTTCTTTACTACAAATGAATGTCGTAATAGTTTTGGATTTGTCTAATATGATTTATGAATTATGTTTTAAAATATAGACGGTTCAGATTATTGAAATATATTATGAAGTGGGCTCTACAATATGGGTGTCAAAATGTGTATCACAATCATGTGAGCCCAAGGACCAAAAAATATGGCATTTGGTTTGTGTAAAAGAGAAATCGGATCATTTGATTTGTGTGAGGTAGACCAGCAGAATGAGTTAATGGGGAATGCCGAATTCAATTTGAGTAGTCCGAATTGTTTGCTCCTTAGGCTCTAGACAGTGATATCTGGAGTGGATCTCTGTCCAATCCAATATATATGTATGTATATATGTATATAAAGGTAAAGCATTCCGTAACTAGTAATACTTGATAACTAGCTAGTACAAAATCTCATGTTAGAGAGAGAGAAAGAGAGAACCTGCAGCAGCTGCACCAACAATATTTTCCTTGGAGTTCCTAGTTTTCAAGAAGAGCCTGGTCCTGTAGTGAGCATGAGATGCATAGAAGTCGTCCAGAGCCATTTTGATGCAACTCAAATAAACCTTCCCACTCGGCGTATCAAGGTCGACAACAACTCCCACATTCACCGGGATCCTTGTGTTTCCGGCTGCATTCACGGCCACATCGAAAATCCATGACAAGAGAAAGCAGCAAGAGAAAAAAAGTCTCCAGCTGATGGCACTCATGTTAACTCGAATGCGAGCTTTTCTAGTTTGCAAGCTACTCTATCTTGAAGATGAAATACACACACACACACACACACATATATACGTATTGACTTTTGACCTCTAATAGAGACCACGAGACTCACATGTTTATCAATTCTAGAACAAATTGACTGCACATACATGATTAGTTAGAAGGATTATGTTAGGGAGACCAAATTTTTTAACTAAATGTGCAAATCAAATGTTATTGATAATTAGATTATTACTTAGGTATTGATTAACTTGTTTATCTTCTAGTGGTAACACATCATTTGGTTTAAAATTTTGATCTCCCTAACATTACCCTTGGTTAGAATGATACAAATACTAGAAATACTCTAAAGTCTTCCGTACATTGAAAATATCCTGCTATAGATTTGATTAATTAAATAAGCTCACAAATCAAAATGCTGAACTCTCACAAGAATTATTGATAAATTACTAGAAGAATATGAAATACCTGAAAACAATCAAAGGACTTTAAACCTTCGCAAAGCTGGAGTCAGATTCAGAAATTTGGATTCTGCAATGAAGTGAGCCCGCCCCGCAAATGGCACATGAGAAATTTGGAGAGCTGAAATTCATCTCTCAAACCACCATGGATCGGATTGAATATTGATGGATGCAAATTTCCGCCTTTCCTTGATTGACGAATTTGCATCTGCAAAATAATAACACTTAATATTAAGGCCAAAAGCCTCATACGCCCACGATGAATGAGAGGCTTTGACCAAAGAATATCCGATGTCAAAGTTAGAATTATGTAAAGAATGTGTTTGAGTATTTGTGGGAAGCAAAAATCGTCTTTAGGGGTAGCTAAAGCTTCTTGAATTTTGGAGACAAATGGAGTATTTATAAGAGAAAAGGAGGAGATGGGCCGATCTTCTAGGGTTTAGGGGTGGCCGGCCTTAGGTAGTATTTTGGGTGGAATGTCTAAGATATTTGTGTAAATAAATATCTTAGAATAATTAAGTAAATATCCTAAATAAATCGAATTAGTATAACTTACTTGAAAAATGTCTTCTCTGATTAGGAATGTATTTATGATAAAAATAAAGGATTATTCTATCATAAATACCTTTCACTTTTCCTACTGGCAGAGGTGCCTTGAGCAATCATTGATATCCGTCTGCTCTACCTCAGCTGCGCGGGGTGAATGAGGCTGCTCCCTGCTCATTTAATAGGGACAATCTTGTCTTTCTTGATAAATAATCCATGTGTCAGCTCCATGCTTTTTTGGATTATTTTTTACTCTACAAATATATAGGTTCGTTGTTTTAGAGGAAAATGACGCCCCATTAAAGCCACCATGGCTGGGCTGCCTTTTCTTCTTCTTTAAAGTTCCACATTATTTTGAAGGAAAATATTAGTATTCCCTCCCTCCACCATATTTTTCAATTAAACAGTTGTGAAATTTTAGTTTTTCTATATAGAAAATCCACACACGTGTGACATATATGACGGTACATCCTTGAACTTTGAATCAAGTGGCGGATTAATTAGATTTAATAAAAAAAGTAAGTTTATACCTCATTTGAAATCTTTGAAAGTTTCAATTTCAAACGAATACTCCATTCCTTGTAGATGACTATCTTTTTGGCATCATTTGCAAAGCATCTTCCATACTACCGACCATACACACATGACAAGATAATGGTGGGTGTATTCTAGGAGTCCTTTCTATAAACATATAATTAAGTTGTTTGATTAGTTGATTAGTCTTTCAAATTCCATTAACATAACCATTATTTGATTAATCACCACAAAAGGACAATATGTATGCCGAATTCAATTGAAAATTGTAAAAAGACCCTAGAGTTCTCTTCTTTTGTTTTCCTTTTCTTTTTCTTTTTCTGTTCAATTGAAACCAACGGGGTTGTCGGCTTCTCTCTCATTTTGAAACCAAAAGAGGAAAACGGTACTTTTTTTTTTTGGTCAAACCATAGATTTTGTTAGAAAAAATGGTACGTTTTTCAGTTTTGTCTTTTAATGATATTCTTCAAAGCATGTTAGGTAGCTGGTCCTGTCAAGCTTTGTATATTCTTTAATGACCAACCAAAATGTTGTCTCTTTGTAGATTCGGGGTATTAGTGACCACTGACATCATTCTAGCTCATTGTCCCACATTAGTTGTTAGTACCATATTATATTGGGCCTTGTTACTTGGGCTTCTAGACATTGAGCCCATGATCTATGTAAAAGGGGAGGAGCCCTTAGTCTATAAAAATGACTCTTCACCCTCACAATCAAGGACCCTCACAATCCTCAAGCCTCACATCCCCAAACAGAGGCTCTCATATTCATAGCAAAGCTCTCTCAAACTCTCTCTTTTTCTGGGGGACTCCCCCTCACACTTGTAATCCATACATACGGTTACAGAGATATACAATCAACATTAGTGTGGACGTAGCCCAAACATTGGGGTGAACCACGATACATCTTATGTTCTTTACTTTCTTGCAGATTCACGGTCGGATTTACGTTGTCCCAAGACCCCTCCGGTTTTGTGCATCAACATTTGGCGCCGTCTGTGGGAAACGATTACGAAAAGTTATGTCGGTTTTCTTTCATTTTTTCACCTCCACTGTGGATCTGCAAAAACCACCAAATGGGTGTTCAAATACACAATTTGTCTCTATCCTCCCTGATTATTTTGATAATTTCAGCTGCAAGTCTGCAACTTTTAGCAGAATCCAAGACTTTCTGGGCCGACATTGAAGCTCTCAAGGAGTTCAAGAACTCACTCAACCTCGACTCAGTGAGTCCTGGTTCGTGCGTCAACTCCTGGGACTTCACCCTCAACCCCTGCGGCAACCTCTTCAATGATCGGTTCACCTGTGGCTTCCGCTGCGACCTGGTCAACAACTTCTCGTCCGCCAGCCAGCTCACCGAGCTCACCGAGCTCACCCTTGACCAGGTCAGTTACTTCGGCTCGCTCTCTTCCCTATCCTGGAACTTCCCGTATTTACAAACGCTTAACCTTTCTAACAACTTTTTCTCTGGATCGATCCCGGACTCGCTTTCTAACTTAACACGGCTGAGTCGACTCGGTCTCTCCGGCAACTCGTTCTTCGGCGCTATTCCCGACTCAATTGGATCCCTTTCGAACCTTGAGGAGCTTTTTCTCGACAACAACCGCCTTGACGGTGCAATCCCACAGAGCTTGCACGGCCTGGCGCAGTTGAAGCGGCTTGAGCTTCAGGGGAACCAGCTTGGCGGTGAGTTTCCCAAATTGGGTTCTCTCCAGAACCTCTACTACTTGGACGTCAGCAACAACGCCATATCTGGTGGCGTCCCAATAAATTTTCCGCCATCTTTGCTCCAAATCTCCATGCGAAACAACAGCTTAGAAGGAAGCATCCCGGAAGCAGAGGATGAGGAAGCAGCAAAGCTCAAGCTCTCCAATGGCGGTCACTAAGTTTCTCTCACTCTCAACCCTCATTTTCTTCTTCGTCTTTGCATCCAAAGCCGCATCTTCTCCACCGACATTCAAAACCACCAAGCTGCAAAATCAAGACCAAGAAAAAGAGCCGTTCGTCGGAGTGAACATTGGCACCAACGTTTTGAATCTTCTGTCTCCGTCGGACCTCGTTTTGTTTCTGCAACTCCAGCAGATCAACCACGTCCGCCTTTATGATGCCGATCTAGACATCCTCAAAGCCCTGTCCAAAACCAAGATCCGGAGGTTATCAACGCCTGGGAACTCATGGAGGGGCTCAAAGAAGGACGAGACATGCAGCAGCAACAGCAACCAGCATCAAGTCAATCACAATCTCCCCGAACAAGCTCTCTTCGCTGACCGGGGTCAGCGTCAAGGCCCTGTTCCTGTGGCTCAACATCGTTGAGGTCATCCGGAGTGGGGACAACTTCGAGTTCTCGGTGGGGATCGCGTTAGTGGCTTCTCTCTCTCACACTGCGTCTCTGTTCCTTAGTCGTTTTTCACCTTCTTCTTCTCTCTGACTCTCACTTTCTCTCTCTAGAAAAGCTAAAACTTAGTGGTTGGGTCAGCCTCCAGTTCGTTATCATCAAATCCTCATTTGAGTCCTCTCTCTCTGCAACCAAATCAAACTGTCGGTGGTGCGATTCACGGGAGTGGAGACGGAGAAGGTGGAGAAGTTGAATGAGAGGTTGGAGAAAGATGGGTATAAGATTATTGGGGATCATCTGCTGGTTAGGTATAATCCGCCATAGATGTTGCCTCCGTTCAGGACCAATGAGACTCTATTTTATGCTGGTTTGGAATGGCTAGCGTTCGAGTGTGACTCAGAGAGCCGGATATGGAGAAATGGCTAGCATCTTGCGACCGTGGACTGCGGTGCCAGGCGAAAACGGTTCGTGACTCGGTGAGCGGGTTGACTCAGTGGCAGATGCTCCCTGAAAAACAACCTCTGCAAAAGAATCTGAAAAAGATGAGACCTTTTTCTTTTTTTCTTTATTATTTTACTTTATCATTATTACTTCCCTAGCTACCAGAGAATGATGAAACTTTCATGATACAACCCACCACTCGATTAGTCTCAGAGATCATTGCAAACCATCAGACAACTCAAGGACTCCCACAAAAGAAAAAGAAAAAGGATGTCTGGAGAAAAGCAGAAAGCAAAAGCAGTAAGCAAAAGAAGAAAAAAAGAAGCAGACATAATTGCGGTGGTGATGGCATGCAGAAAATGGAATTATGGGCGTAACCCATTGAGCAGAGGGTCGGATTTATTTTTGAATGATGTGAATTATTTTTCTTATCTTTCAGAGACATCTGTATAACCCCACCAGAGGGTAATCATAAATAAAGAAAGAAGGCACCATGCCAAAAAAAAAAGGAAAAAAGAAAACTGCAAGCCCAAAATAATGGGCTGGATTGTTATGTGGAGGGCGAAGACCCATATGCCCAAAAGAGCCAGGCCCTATGGCTTCAAATTCCAAACTCCATCCCTCCACTTAAGGTTCACCCTCTATTATCACTAACCAGGTGATCAAAAGTACATTCAGTACTCCAAAATTATTCAGCAGCCTGCCGCTATTATCACTAACCAGGTGGTCAAAAGTACGCCCAGTACTCCAAAATTATTCGGCAGCCTGCCGCTATTATCACCAACCAGGTGATCAAAAGTACGTCCAGTACTCCAAAATTATTCGGCAGCCTGCCACTATTATCACCCACTAGGTGATCAAAAGTACGTCCAGTACTCCAAAATTATTCGGCAGTCTGCCACTATTATTGCCCACTAGGTGATCAAAAGTACGTCCAGTACTCCAAAATTATACATGAGCATCACTCATGTCAATCATACATAAACATTCATGAGCATCACTCATGTCAATCATACATAAACATTCATGACCATCATTCATGTCAACATTCATGTGCATCATGTCAACATCCATGAGCATCACTCATGTCAATCAACATAAACATTCATGAGCATCACTCACTCATGTCAATCAGCTTCGAAAGCTTCATTTATAAAGCTCCAGCTTCGAGAGCTCTAGCTTCAAAAACTTCATTTACAAAAGCTCCAGCTTCAAAGCTTCACTTACGAAGCTTCACCTACAAAGCGTCAGTGCAGGGTATACAAAGACCGCCTCCGAACAACCGCCACTTCGACCCATTAATTCGATGTTCAAGCACCCAAATGACAAAACCAATGAAGATGAAGAAACAAAGAGTTGTAAGCCATAGTTCCCATGTCAAAGGTTTCAAGAAAACCCATGCCTTTTTACTCGTGTCTCTGGTTGGCACAACCATCACTACACCAGATTCTGTGTATGGCATTGTGAAGTCTACATACAAGGATCTACTGGCTCTAATTGTTGTATCTCCCACCACCACATCAAAGTTCTGTCCAGCAAACGATAGATGATCAAATCGGGAAACAAATACCCAACAATGCAATCAGGTATAGTTGAGCTAAAGAAAGAATTTTAAATTAAGGAACAGTATATAATGCATGAAATCTTAACTGAAATTATAATGCCAACTGAATTTACCTTGAGATGTACTTGAGAGAGCAAATCGTTGTAACTGCCAGCGCTGGTCCCATCAGGGTTTTCATAGGGAATGAATTCATAAGGAAGATCATATGGCAATACACCCAATACAGCCTTGAAGACATCAATACTGAACCCAGTGATTTCCGTTGTGTCAGTGCGAGAATTCTTGGTTACCTGAACAAACTCAGTATAACCAGCCTTCTTAGGAACTCCAATTCTCAACTTCTTACCATTTGTTAGGATCTCACATCCCTTGGGAACAGAGAGAGAATCTCCCGGCCATATTGTTAAAAATACAACACCAGCCCAATAATTAAGGGCCAGCACATTTGGAATTATGAATGAAAGCATGATTTTGCTAGAAAGTTCTAGCAAGCATGTCGGTGGGCATGCATTATAAGCTAGATAATTCTAGCAAGTTGTAATATTATAATTCTAGCAAGTTGTAATATTATATGGCTATTAGCCATATGTCGGTGGGTGTGTGCGCGCATAAGTAGTTGCTAGAATAATCTAGCAAATGTCCAAGTCGGCAACCATTGCCTATAAATATGTATGCATGTGTGTATTGCTATGTAAACAAACAACCAACAAGAAAGTAGCCAAGTAGGCAACCAAGTGAGAGTGAGAAGTAAGAGTAGTCTTGTGAGGAGTGTGAGTGATCTAGAGTTTGTCTCTAGAAAGTAAGTGAGTGTCATTGCTTCTAAAGTGTCTTTGAGTGTTTTGAGTGTTGTAATGTTTTGAGTGTTGTAATATTTTGTGTGTGTAATACAAGTAATTTGTTTACTTGTGTTGTCTCTCCAACACTTGTGTTAGAGTTGTGTACTCTAAGTTTTTCCCCAACACATATAACCGGTCTAAGATTGTAATTCATGGAAGTTGAATTCATGTTTCCTGAATTTAATGTATCTACCATACCAGTTTCCGGTGTCCAAAATGCAATTCTTCTTACTCCATCACCATTTACATTGACTATCTTAAAAGTTGATGATTGAAGATGCCCATCAACAAGACTAAAGTCTCCAGCTATGCCTTTGAATCTAGTAGTTGATAAGACTCGGGCAAGTTTAAGACCATGTTGAGAGACCTTGAAAGTGTCAAGATCTGTGGAGTTGAAGGAATCATTCATCATTTGGAAACCAAAACTTGTATTCATCCCAACTTCTTCAATAGCCAAGGCTAGTGCAAATGCTGCATCATAAACCCGAAGTGCAAAAGCTCACAATCAACATCAAGCACATTCATGGTTGGATTGTCTTGCTGGAATTGCCTTCTCCACCGCATTTTGAATTTGTTAAGCTCCACTGTTTTTGGAACATCTGTTTCCACACCTAATACACCTTGCATTGCATTTTGGAGGATAGGACGCATTGACCATAATCGATTTCCTACCCCATTCGTTATGATCCAAACGTAGCCTTCACTCATCATTCCAATCTCTTTTGCCTTGGAAAATAGACTAGAGGAGAGATTAGGCATCATGTGCACGATGAAGACCCTCTTTTGCATCCTCATTAACATGTCAATCTGTTCACCAATTTGATCATCAGTGGCTGATGGGGAAATCACACTACGATAAGGAACATGAGCATCCACCTCTTGTAGTGCATCAATTAAAGACCGTATAATTCCCTCCCCGTACGTATCGTGTACATAAATTGGCACAACTTGCCTCCATCCAAAATATTTGACAAGGTCTCTTATGACTTTGACTTGGTATGAGTCGGTTTGTGTAATTTGGAAGAAGTAAGAACTACGGAGTGATGAGAGAGAAGGGCTTGTTGCAGAAAATGATAAAATTGGGACATGAGCTTGGTCTCCAAGACTAACAACGAAGCTCGCCTGCATTGATGTTTCTGGCCCTAGGATTGCTTGCACTTCTACATTTTTAATAAGATCCAAAGCTGTGTTCCATTGGAAAAAAGAAATTTCAAAATTGTGATTGATTAATTTGATAAGATTTGTTTGTACCATACTTGACCAATCCCGAAACTACTGAGCACCGGTCAACGTAATACCGTCAAGGACCCAGAAGAGCTTCCCTTCAACCAGGAGGCCAATCACAATGCGACACGTGTCGACATCAGAAGCTAATCACAGCGCGACACGTGTCAACATCAGAAGCCAATCACAACACGACACGTGTCAATGTTAGAACAAAACTAGAAACTCTCTTCTATAAATAGGGATCATTCTCCCACAATAATCTCTAATGTCATTTTGTACTAAACTATTCACTAGAACTCACAAAATGAGAGCTTGAACCTATGTATTTGTGTAAACCCTTCACAATTAATGAGAACTCCTCTACTCCGTGGACGTAGCCGATCTGAGTCAACACAAACATTTGTTTTGTTCTACACCCACAACAGTCCTGTCATAAACAAACAAGCAATTATATATATGTTTCCAAACATATTATAATAAATCAAACAACAAGCCAAAATCCCAAGTTTAACTAGAAATCCAACCCAAGCAACCTCTTTCCCTCTCTTCCTCTTCCGCCTCCTTTCATCTATCAAATTTCTGCAACCTTTGCTCTTCTCCAGTGGAGCTGAATTTTGGACACCCTATATTTCTTGAGCAGATGAACAACTTTCAAGAAGGAATTGTTTCTGTTTGAGCGACGGAAATTAAAGTGTTGAGGCTCCAAACACGACAGTCGGATTCCCACAAATTTAAAGACTGCTGTGATGTTTCGAAGATCTGGAAATATTTAACCGTTAGTTCATTCTGAATTTTTGATATATCATGAAAGAGATGATAAGGAACAACTTCGATGAAGAAAGTATGTTGATCTGAACAAGAGAAAATGGAGTTTCGAAGCTCACAACAAGTCTGACAGGTTGACAGAAAA